GCCTCCTGAGTAGCTAAGATTACTGGCCACTAGTGCCCAACTGATGTCATTCTTTCTAATGGATGAGTAAAATTCCATTGTGTATAGGTTCCACATTTTTTTGGATCCCTTCACCTAATGTGGGGCATCTGGGCTGTTTCTATAACTTGGCTATTGTGAATAGAGCAGTAATGAACATGGGTGTGCAATTATCTTTATGGTATCCTGGCTTGTGATATTCTGCAGAGATGCCCAGGAGGGTAGTATGGCTGAATCATATAGAAGATGTATGCTTATGGAGCTCCAGTGGTGCAATCGGTTAGCATGCAGTACTTATAAGAAGATGTATGCTTAATTTTTTTTTATTTTTATTTTATTTTATTTTATTTTTGGGTCTGGTCTTGGGGCCTGAACTCTGGGCCTGGGCGCTGTCCCTCAGCTCTTCAGCTCAAGGCTAGCGCTCTACCACTTGAGCCACAGCGCCACTTCCGGCTTTTTTCTTTTTGCTTATGTGGTGCTGAGGAATCGAACCCAGAGCCTCAGGCATGCAAGGCAAGTGCTCTACCACTGAGCCACCTTCCCAGCCCTGTATGTTTAATTTTGAGGAACTTCCAGACTGCTGTTACATTCCCGCCCGCAGCACAGTTGGGTTCCTTTTCCCCCACATCCCCCCACATGAATATGGTGGATCTCAAGGGGAGTGGGGCAGACAGATGGAGAGAGGAATGGTAGGCAAATAGTCAAAATACTTGGTGTTTGTGTGTGAAAATGGAACTAGATACCTTGAGGGTGGATGGAGTTGGGAGAGGCAGAGGAGAGTGATGGGGGGGGGGGGGGGTGACACTGCTCAAGAGGCATCACACATATAAATTGGCATGGTGAATGAAACACCTTTATGTAGCTATACGAGATAATAAAGCCGGGCACCAGTGACTCACTTGTGCAATCGTAGCTACTCAGAAGGCCGAGAAGGCAGAGATTTGAGGATTATGGCTAAAACCAGCCAGGGAAGAAAACGTCTGTAAGGCTCTATCTCCAATTAACCACCAGAAAACTGAAAGTGGTGTGGTGGCTCAAAGTAGTAGAGTGCTGGTCTTGAGGGAAAGAGCTCAGGGACCGTGCCCAGGCCCTGAGTTCAAACCCCACTACCAAAAAAAAGTCGGACTGGTCGTGTGGCTTAGTGGTAGAGCGCTTGCCTAGCATGCACAAAGCCCTGGGTTTGACTCCTCAGTACCACATACACAGAAAAAGCCAGACGTGGTGCTGTGGCTCAAGTGGTAAGAGTGCTAGCCTTGAGCAGGCACAGTGCTCAAGCCCCAGGACTGGTCAAAAAAAAAGTCAGTAAATATGTTAAGCCTAGATAACCATATATGGTAGATGTTGTGTGTGGATTTTCAGTTTTGCTTTTTGTTGTACAACTATTTTACGGAGATATAAATCATACTTAGCCCACAGCCCTATGAAAAACAGCTGTGGGGATGGAGGCTGTATTTCAGGGCAGAGTACTTGCCTAGCTGTGTGGACTACCGCGTTCCATCCTGGGATAGGAGGGGCAAGCCAGGGTACGCCTGCTTCATCTCCGGTGTTTAACCTGCCTCTAAGCGAACTTCTTTGCGGTCACCGTTGGATACATGTCTGCGTGTGATCTCTTTGAGCTCAGTGCAGAAGGGTGGGCTTTATTGCTGTACCCTGACAGGAATGAGGATGTGCTTTTATACTTGCATTTGAAGAACAGTGTGCAGCCTCTTTTTGCAAACATGGTTTGTGTTTGGTTTGGTTGCCATTCCAAACTTGATGGAGTTAGATAGCTATGATAGAGAAGCCTCAGATGAAGCCCCGTGGTCCTTGCTGCAGGGCTGAAGTAGGACTTTCATCTGGGAGCATGGTCCTAGTAAAGTGCTTGAGTGCCAGCAGCTTTCTCTGCCCATTTAACAGTAGTTGCTACTTCTTTACTGCTTTGCTTTTTTTTTGTCCATTGTGGAGCTTGAACTTATGGCCTGGGCACTGTGCTGGAGAGCTTTTTCCTCAAGGCTAGCACTGTACCACTTTGAGCCACAGTGTCACTTTCCATTTTCTGGTGGTTAATTGGAGATAAGAGATTTCATGGATTTTCCTGCTGGCTTTGAACTGCGATCCTCAGATTGCAGCCTCCTGAGTATCTAGGATTATAGGCTTGAGCCTCTGGTACCCGACTGTTTTTTATTTATTTTTGGTCAGTTGTGGGCATGAACTCTGGGCCTGGGCACTGTCTCTCAGCTCTTCAGATCAAGACTAGTGCCCTACCACTTGAACTACAGTGCCACTTCTGGCTTTTTCTGCTTATGTGGTGCTAAGGAATCAAACCCAGGGCCTCACGCATGCAAGGCAAGCACTCTTCCACTGAGCCATCTTCCCAGGCCCTGTATTTTTATTTTTGTACTAAGGATCAAATCTAGGATGTTACGCTTGCTGGGCAAGCACTTTGCTACTTGAGCTATATCGTAGCCCTACTAACTAAGTTTAATACCCATGGAACCAAAATAATTTAGAGATTATTCTTATGTAATTAAAAAACCAAATGAACAAAACCTCTTTCTAATACTACAGTCTGCCTGGCAGTTTAGACTGTGAAAGGTTGTCTGAAGGAATGGACTATGCTCGCGAAAGGTGACTGGGGTTAGCACATTGTGTGCACAAGTGTATATGCTCCTCAGGGGAATAATTGCTCTGTCAACTTTTCCCAGAGGCTGCACATAAGTTGCTTTGATGTTTAGGGTTTGTTTTTGTTACTGTTGTTGTTTTTATTTTCTTTTTGGGTTCTGGGATGAGACTCAGGGTCTTGTATATGCTAAGTAGATGTTCTACCACTGAAATATACCTAACCATGCTTTGAGCTTTTTTTTTTTTTTTTGGTGGTCCTGGGATTAGAAGTGTTGCTTTAAAAAAAAGTATATACTTATTGAAGAAAATTTTGGAAAAGGAAAAATAAGATTACTCTGATCCAGTCTTTCTAATACAATCAGTATTATGATCATTAATATTTAAGGTTATGTTTTATTGATAATTGTTTTTTGTTTGTTTTTTGTGCCAGTCCTGGGGCTTGAATTCAGAGCCTGGGTGCTGTCCCTGAGCTTCTTTCGCTCAAGGCCAGTACTCTACCACTTGAGCCACGCACCATTTCCAGCTTAATTATTTATTTATTTATTTGATGGTTAATTGGAGATGAGAGAGAGTCTTATGGACTAGGACTATGGTGTCTGGGCTAACTTCGACCCTCAGATCTCACTAGGATTACAGCCTTCCACATGCTGTGATTATAGGGGTACATCACCGTGTCGTCCCGTTGCGCCCCCTCCCTTCCCCCCTTCCACCACTCTCTGGGTTGAATGCTCTGCCGTGAGCTCACTCACAGCTGCTGGTGCTCTGCCTCTGACTCACTTCCATCTTTTTCCTGGGCGTGTGTCTTTCCAATGAGCTGTCTTTATCCTTGTCCAGCGAGCCCTTGGCCGCCCACCTGAGCCTGTGCTGTGCTCCTTGGCGAGGGCCCCCTTCCGTACCCTGGGTGCCTGCCACCTGTGCATAGCGGAGGGTGGCACCGTCAACACAGCAGCGCCCGGGGGCATGTCTCCTCTGTGAGTTTCCTCCCGCTGGGAACTGGCTGGAGCATGGTCTTAGCAGCCTGGCAGCGGGTTTGCATCAGCTCTGGGCACTTCCCAGCAGTCCCAGCTGTGTGTGGACAGATGACCCTGATCAGGACCTTTGTGGAGGTGCTCAGCTCTGTGGTCTGACATGTCAGAGCAGCCGTTCCGAGCCTGCCGGCCCTCTTCATTTCAGAGTGAACAGGCAGCTGCTCCTCCACAGTCAGCCTTCTAAATGCTTGGTGGCCTGGCACCTCCAGCGGGTCCCTGGAATCCTGTGCAGTGGGTAGCTAAGCCCTTTCATTTCCTGTCCTGGTCTCTGGCCTCCCACCCATTACCGTAGCGTGTGGACACCTGCGTATAAAGATGAATTAGAGGGCTGGGAATAGGTGGCTCAGTGGTAGGGTGGTAGGCATGCGTGAAGCCCCAGGTTCAATTCTTCAATACCACATACGCAGAAAAGGCCGGAAGTGGTGTTGGGGCTCTCACGTGCTGGCCTTAAACAAAAGCAGCTCAGGGATAGCGCCCAAGCCCCAAGGACTGGCAAAAAAAAACCATCACTGGATGTTTATAAAAGATTTGACCTGTTCACAAGTCTGTGGACCATCCCTATAGTAACTTTGGTCAGCTATGTAGTAACTCGGTGGAGTGTTTCATTGTAAGTTCTCCTTCCTGAGGATGCTGGGGTGAAGCCCTTCTCCTTTTGGTTGGGGGCACAGTGCTAGTCACCTGGCATTGGTACCAAATTGTGTCTGATAAAATTCTTGGGTATTGGGGCTAGGAAGGTGGCTCAGTGGTAGAGTGCTTGCCTCACATGTATGAGGCCCTTGGTTTGATTCCTAGCACCACATCAAACAGAAAAAGCCAGAAGTGGCGCTGTGACTCAAGTGGTGAAGTACTCGCCTTGATCTGAAGCGCTGAGGGACAGCGCCCAGGCCCAGAGTTCAAGCCCCACGACCCACCAAAAAAAATAAAATTCTTGGTTATGAACAAAATGGCTATTGGATGTTGCTTTTTGTGTGTCAAAAGTGTTAGTGTTTGTGCTTGACAGCAGCTTGATAGATGGGTTTTTCTCTTGTAGCTTCAACTTAAATAATGGTAGTTTGTGTAATTAAAAAAAGTAAATAGGTCATGGTGGTGCAAGCCTAGACTTTTAGCATTCTGGAGACTGAAGGAGGAGGATAGTAAATTAGAGACCAGCTTGAGTGACATAGTGAGACCTCTTCACATGAACCCAAAAGGAAGCAGAATGGAATTCAGCACAATGGATGTCTGTTTCAGTCTCTTGACTATTAACATTAAACCTTGCTATGATGACGTCTGCAGTTACTTCTGCAGGTTGTGGCACAGTGTGCTGCACACTGTGTTTTGCCAATACTGATTTTGTTATTTCTTTTCTTACAGAGAAAGATGGCAAAGCCTTTCATCCGACTTACGAAGAAAAGCTGAAGCTTGTGGCACTGCATAAGCAGGTTCTTTTGGGTCCATACAATCCAGACACTTGTCCCGAGGTTGGATTCTTTGATGTGTTGGGAAATGACAGGAGGTAACTGTTCTGTGGCTTACTGAAAGTAATAAAATAATGTTGAGAAAGGGTGCAGTGTGGTTTTGTTGTGATATAAATGGCTTGCTCCTTGACTTAGGATAAGAACTGAAACAATTTTGCTTCCAGCTTCTGGAGTCTTCAGATGTTTGTTTTTGTCTTGGAGATGTTTATAGTTAAATATTGAAGGACTGTCTATTTAATTTGACTGAAACAGGACAATATATTTGTCTTATTCTATTTGACTCTTCCTAAGTGATGTTAAAAATGACTAAGCTATATGATATTTGATTCCTTTATTTAGACAGCTAGAGAATTGTACCAGAAAAGAATACATTGAATATGTTTTTCAGTTTAAGACTAAAATACAATGTAAGGAAATTAACATGTAGTTATTTTTTGCCACACACACATTATCAATAATATACTTGAGATTTTGAATTGTGTATAGCATAACTCAATCTAGTAAGTCAATATATACTTGTTGAAACTTGACTTTTGAGCTCTATCTTTCTGGTTCGTTTTAGTTATAATCAAGAGTTCTGTGTGTGGATTTAAATCAAGTTATCATTCTATAAAGAAGGGGAGGTCACTTTTCTTATTGTTCTTTACAGGAGAGAATGGGCAGCTCTGGGAAGCTTGTCCAAAGAGGATGCCATGGTAGAGTTTGTCAAGCTCTTAAATATGTGTTGCCATCTGTTTTCAACATATGTTACATCCCACAAAATAGAGAAGGAAGAGCAAGAAAAAAAAAGGTGACGTTTGAGGGTGTGGAGTGTTTTATCCCTGCACAACCAGCGTGCTGATGCTTTTGCTTTACTGTAGGTATTTTCTTTCCCCTCAGCTCCTCATTTCTTAGGGCAGTTTTCAAACTCCTGATTAGAACAGGTATTTATAGAATGAGTTTGGGGAGGGGAAGGGAGGAGACTACTTCCTTATGGCTTGTAAGGCACTTGTAGAAGAAACTACCTATCCATCTCAGTAGCATGACTTTTAGTAAACTAAGTTTCTGAACACAGTCCACCATTAACGCAACCATTGCTCCTCCCTGTCTATGTTTTGACACTGCTGCTGTCTGCCTTGAGCTTCCTGTATAGTCATTCTCCATTTCATAGTTTTCATGTTCTGCATGGTAGGTGCTGTATAGACAAACATTGGGTTTGGCTTCCAGGAGGCTTGTAACTAATTTTCAATGTTGGGGGAGGATCTGCTGAGTATGATGTTTATGTTAATGAGATTCCACTGTTGTTGTGAATAGGATTACCATGAACACATCTAGAAGTTACATTTGAAAGAACTTTGGCCATCTAAATTTTCTAGATACACAATAAGGCCAGTTTTTACAAATTACATTATATACTTTAAAAGCAGTTAGTTCTCTGTCTTTCTGCATTAAACTGGATGAAGAGTAACAGAAGAGAAACTGGAGGGAGATAATTTGTTAGTGCCAAGGAGGTGGGGTGGCTGGTCACGTTGGCATTCAAGGGTTCTTCCTGGCTGGCTCCTCCATATTGAAGGTTTCTTATGAGATCACACTGGCCTTGGACCCTCAGTTGCTATAGTCTGTTCCTACAAGTGCACTGCTTACACCAATCTTGAGGTGTGTGACAGAAAGCCTGGCAATGGGGGCTCTCACTTGTAGCCCTAGCACTCAGAAGGCTGAGATCTGAGGATTGTGGTTCATGAATTGTTATTTTATTTTTTGTCAGTTGTGGGGCTTGAACTCTGGGCTTGGGTGCTGTCCCTGAGCTCTTCAGCTCAAGGCTAGCACTCTGCCACTTGAGTCATAGCGCCATTTGGTTTTCTTTTTTTTTTTTTTGGTCGGTCATGGGGCTTGAACTCTGGGCCTGGGCTCTGTCCCTCAGCTCTTCAGCTCAAGGCGAGCGCTCTACCACTTGAGCTACAGCACCACTTCCGGTTTTCTGGTGGTTTATTGGAGATAGGAGTCTCACGGTCTCTCCTGCCCGGGCTGGCTTTGAACCGCGATCCTCAGATCTCAGCCTCCTGAGTAGCTAGGATTACAGGCATGAGCCACCAGCGCCCGGCCGCCATTTGGTTTTCTGTTGTTTAATTGGAGATAAGAATCTCACTGACTTTCCTGACTGGACTGGCTTTGAACCGTCATCCTCAGATCTCAGCCTCCTGAGTAGCTAGAATTACAGGAGTGAGCCACCAGTACCCAGCTACTTTTTAATTTCTTAAAAAATTTCAATTTATTATAAAAGTGATGAACATTCTTCTTTCTTCTTTCTTTCTTTCTTTTTTTTGTTGGTCATGGGGCCTGAACTCTGGGCCTGGATGAGCCCAAGGAGAATGTAGTGATGTGAGAACCGCAGACTTACTTCTTTACAGAGCATATACCATGTAGGAAGGGAGATGTAGGGTGTGTGTGTGTTTACATGTGCTAGGGATGGAACCTGGGGCCTTGTGTGTGCTAGGCAAGTGCTCTACCACTCAGCTACATCCCAAGTGCTGTGGAGCTTTTTCTCTAATGGGTAAGGCAGTTGGATTGCTAAATTTGTACATACATCTAACTATAACTGCAACAGGTATTATGAAGGCAAAGCTTTTTTTTTTGGCCAGTCCTGGGGCTTGAACTCAGGGCCTGGGCACTGTCCCTGAGCTTCTTTTGCTCAAGGCTAGTACTCTACTACTTGAGCCACAGCGCCACTTCTGACTCTTTCTGTGTATGTGGTAATAAGGAATCAAACCCAGGGCTTCATGCATGCTAGGCCAGCACTGCCACTGAGCCACATTCCAAGCTCAAGGCAAAGCTTCAATGCTGTCAATATTTATCTGTGAAGGTATAGGTATATCATAGTGATTTAAGGTAGTATCTTATTCATTGATACTTTTTTCTATTGCTATATAACAATAACTATTCTTCCTCATATAATCTTACGAGATTGACTCTGGTAAGCTTGTACTAATGGAGAGTATGTCTTTTACATTTTGATGGAGATCGCCATATTATTCTCTAGAGATTTTCACTAGGAAATGAAATTTAGGTTATTGAAAAAATAAGACTGACTGTGGAAGGGTCATTCGCTGTTCTTTACCACGTAGGAAGGAAGAGGAAGAGCGGAGGCGCCGTGAGGAGGAAGAAAAAGAGCGTCTTCAAAAGGAGGAAGAGCGACGGAGGCGGGAAGAAGAGGAGAGGCTGAGGCGGGAGGAAGAAGAGAGGCGGCGAACAGAAGAGGAGCGGCTTCGGTTGGAGCAGCAAAAGTAAGCTTGTGTGGCTGTAGAAGAAGAGGTAGGCAGGCCCAGTAGCCTGTGCTGGCCGTTCTAGCTCAGGAGATGGAGAACTGGAGGGGTGAGGGTTACATTCAGCCCAGGAAAACTCCATCTCCAAAATGACCAGCAAAACAAAAAGTCAGGCTCACCAGTAGAGTGCTTGCCTAGCATGAAGTCCTGGGTTCGATTCCTCAGTACCTCATACACAGAAAAAGCTGGATGTGGCACTGTGGCTCAAGTGGTAGAGTGCTAGCCTTGAGCACAGAGAGGCTCAGGGACAGAGACCAGGCCCTGCGTTCTAGCCCCAGGACTGGTCCAAAAAAAAGAAAGGTGGGGTTTGTGATTCAAGTACTAAGTGCCAGGGAAGCAGGCATGAGGCCCTGAGCCTTTTCCTTGTGTGTCTTAGAATTACTCTCTGATATCTCGTGTTAACCACGTTTCATCTTTACCAGCGACTTGATTGTCAAAGAGGAACACACTAGCAGGGTCTGCACTGGCTTGCAGAACCCAAGGACTAGAAGCAGAAACCCATGTTGCTCGGTTGCTGTGTCTGTCTCTGAGTCCATATGTCTGTATCTGGCTCCTCAGCCTATTTCTCTCCTTTATTCTTCCTGATATCTGCAGTGTCTCTGCTGTCACACACAACATAACTGGGAGTTTTATCATCTACTTTTCCACGTCTGACTGACAACACTTGTGTGGCCCAGATCAAGGCAGAGAACCTTGATGACTCAGTGTACATCAAGTGCTCATTCCTAGTCCCTGGTGAAGGACCCATAGGGGCTGGGAGAAGAGGAAACTAGCTGCCAGGATACACTGGTTAGCACCGTTCAATACTTTGAGAAGGATCCAGAAACTTAGGATCCATTGATTTCCTCTCATTGTTTCTGGTTAGTTTCTCAGGAGATGCTTCATTGCTAACTGCCTGAACTAGATCCAGGGCCTCATTCTGTTTTGAAGAAAGACCATGAATGCCTCTCTTTAAGTATGGTAAAATGCCCTATGTAGGTCTACTCTCATGCTCTGATGGGGGGTTTGTGAGATTTTATTCTTTTTTTTTTTTTTTTTGGTTCCAGTCATGGGGCCTGAACTCTGGGCCTGGGCGCTATCTTTCAGCTCTTCAGCTCAAGGCTAATGCTCTACCACTTGAGCCACAGTGCCACTTCTGGCTTTTTTCTTTTTGCTTATGTGGTGCTGAGGAATTGAACCCAGGGCCTCATGCATACAAGGCAAGCGCTCTACCACTGAGCCACCTTCTAAGGCCCCCCCCCCCCTTTTTTTTTTTTGGTCGCTTGTAGGGCTTGAACTCTGGGCCTGGGTGCTGTCCCTGAGCTCTTCAGCTCAAGACGAGCACTCTATCGCTTGAGCCACAGCGCCACTTCCGGTTTTCTAGTGGTTTATTGGAGATAAGAGTCTCATGGACTTTACTGCCCAGGCTGGCTTTGAACCGCGATCCTCAGATCTCAGCCTCCTGAGTAGCTAGGATTACAGGCGTGAGCCTCTGGTGCCCAGCTTCTCAGCCCCTTTTTTCTTTTCTTTTCTGTTTTTTTTTGTTTGTTTTTTTGGGTGCAGTGGTGGGGCCTGAACTCTGGGCCTGGGCGCTGTCCCTCAGTTCTTCAGCTCAAGGCTAGTGCTCTACCACTTGAGCCACAGCACCACTTCTGGCTTTTTTTCTTTTTGCTTATGTGGTGCTGAGGAATCGAACCCAGGACCTCAGGCATGCAAGGCAAGTGCTCTACCACTGAGCCACCTTCCCAGCCCTTTTCTTTTCTTTTTTTTTTTTGTCAGTTGTGGGGCTTGAACTCTGGGCTTGGGCACTGTTCCTGCGTTCTTCAGCTCAAGGCTAGCGTTCTATCGCTTGAGCCACAGTGACACTTCCGGTTTTCTAGTGGTTTATTGGAGATAAGAGTCTCTCGGACTTTCTTGCCCAGACTGGCTTTGAACCTCGATCCTCAGATCTCAGCCCTCTGAGTAGCTAGAATTACAGGCGTGAGCCACTGGTGCCCGGCTTCTTTTTTTTTTTTGGTTGATCATAGGGCTTGAACTTGGGGACTGGGCGCTGTCCCTTAACTCTTCAGCTCAAGGCTAGGGCTCTACCACTTGAGCCACATCACCACTTCTGGTTTTCTGTTGGTTTATTGGAGCTAAGAGTTTCACTGCCTTTCCTGCCTGGGCTGACTTTGAACCGTCATCCTCAGGTCTCAGCCTCCTGAGTAGCTAGGATTACAGGCGTGAGCCATCAACGACTGGCTCAGCTATTTATTTCTTAATAGATGGATTTGAGGTCTTCGTTAAAGGTCTCATAAATAAACAATCAAATATTGTTTCTCTGTGAAGGAACATAAAAGAATTGTAAGCAAAAAAAAAAAAAAAAGAATTGTAAGCAGTAGTATTCACTAGACACTATGTTAAAAGTTAAACTATACAACTTGTGGCTGGGGATGGGAAGGAAAAACCCGGAGAAAGCAAGAGAAGGGGTGACACTGTCAAAAAATAAATGTAGTCATTATCTGATACATGTAGCTGTAACCACTTTGTACATCACCTTTATAATAATAACAACATACCATTTATGATAACAGAATTAATAGTTTTCTAGAAGTTGTTCTCTGTAAGCCAGATGTGGTAGCATATGCTTATGCTTCTAGCCCTTGGGTGGCTAGGATATAGGATCACTAAAGCTCAAGAGTTGAGACCAGATGGGTACCAGTGGCTCACGCCAGACTGTCTACTACTGTAGTAGGTGCTTAGTTGTTACTAAGCAGCCTTGTGACTGGTTCTGAAAAGCTGTAGTATGGCCTGTAGTGAAGCACAGTGAATATTAGTAATTATAGTGGTATGCTTATTGTTTTCCATCCCAAATTCATGTTGAAAAACCTACATAAAAATAATCCACATTTTTTTCTTTCAGGAACACATACTGATTGGTACAGAGTACTAGCTAAGTCATTTTTATGAGTTTTAAATTGTAGGAGCAAATAAGGGCATCTTGCTGTGTTGTAAGAAGGCGCTTGCACTCAAACACCCCTGGAGTATGCGTTTGTTCCTGGTTTTAGGCAGCAGATAATGGCAGCCCTGAACTCGCAGACTGCCGTGCAGTTCCAGCAGTATGCAGCCCAGCAGTACCCAGGGAACTACGAACAGCAGCAAATTCTCATCCGCCAGCTTCAGGAGCAGCACTACCAGCAGTACATGCAGCAGCTGTACCAAGTCCAGCTTGCACAGCAGCAGGTACGACAGACAGCCCCGAAGTCCAGCCCCAGAGAAGGTGCTCAGTTCACTGGAACCCGAGTTCTTTTCTCACGGTTGCCAGTGAATTTTGCATTAGGGTGCCTCCACGGTGTAAACTTTTAGGTGAGGCACTAGGTAAATCTGTGCGTCTGGCAGTTGCAAGGAAAAACACTGTCAAAGCAACAGAAGATGTGTCTTAAAGGTGTGTGGGAGTTGTGTGGGCCAAATGTCATTACAGTGAGTCTGTTGTAGGCCCTGGTGGTCATCTTGGAACCCTGAGGACCTTTAGTTCAGGGACAGCCCTCAGGCAGGGCTTTGTCAGGCCCCACCGACTTTCCAGGGAGGCCCTTTCCCTAGCACCATTACCTAGCAATGACGCATTGCTGCATCATACCACACAGTGTTCCTGTTCTTCAGCTCCCGTGCATAAAATTTTGCTTCAATGTAGGAGAAACTGGTTTAGGTGGAAGAACATTGCAACTTTTAACTTAACTTTCCACTTACTGTTTGTCAAAACACCTGCATGGAGAAAAGTGTTACATTATCGATACTCCGCTAAGAGGACATGTTTTTGTCAAGCTCTTTGAATTCCTTGGAGATAGATACTTTCGTTTAAAAGACCTGTCCACTGGATGTGGTATGCTAGCCTGTAATACCTGCTAGTTAGAAGCTAATGCAGGAGTATCAAGAATTCAAGCTCAAGCTGGATTCTGGCAACACCCTGTCTCACAAGTCAGGTACTGGCAGACCACGCCTATAATCCTAGCTATTGAGAAGCAGGGTTCAGATCTGAGGATCACTGTTGAAAACCATCCTGGACAAATAGCAAAAAAAGCTAGAAGTAGAGCTTTAAAAAATAATTCTTTTCTCTCCAAATCTTTGGTGTCAATGAGAAGGGTTTTGTTTTTTTTTTTTTAAACAAAAAACCCTAGAGTTTACATAATCCACAAAAGGACCAAAAAAAGGGAAGCTAAACCGTAGTTCATTCAAAAAGTAATCAGAAGCCAGGCGTCAGTAGCACACGCTTGCATCCTGCCTCCTGAGGAGGCTGAGGTCTGAGGATCGTGGTTCAAAGCCAGCGGGGGCAGGAGAGTCTGTGAGACTCTTATCTCCTCAAATAAACGATCAGAAAACTGGAAGTGGCGCTGTGGCTCAAGCGGTAGAACGCTAGCCTTGAGCTGAAGAGCTGAGGGACAGCGCCCAGGCCCAGAGTTCAGGCCCCAGGACCTACAAAAAAAAGAGTAAGAGTATTTTTGAGGGATTCTTCTGTCTTCTTAACCTGAGATAACTTTTCATAGGATAGCTCATATACTTTATCTTGTTCTTGCATTGCTTTCACTTCATGAGGAGAAAACCAGTCTAGCACAACAAAGCCAGAATCTTTGAAATGAAGTTACTACATCACAGTTGAGGTTAGAATGGTGCAATTCGGTCTATCAGATTATCTAGTTGCCTCTGGAAATAGGTAAAATAGACAACTGAGGATTCAGCTTTAGAGAAGTGTTTAGTTGTATTCCAACCAAAGTTCTTTTTTTGACAGTTGACAGTGAATTTTACATGAAGAGAAATAACAAAGGGAACCTGTTGAATGATACCCAGACATTAAAAAAAATACAATGAATTTACTTACACACACACACACACACACACACACACACACCAAAAAAAAAACTGGAAGTGGAGCTGTGGCTCAAGGTAAAACACTAGCCTTGACCACAAAAGTTCAAGGATAGTGCCCAGGCCCTGACTTCAAGCCCCAGTACCAACACACACACACACACATACACATGCACATGTGTACAAAAACAGCCAGGCGTGATGGTACCGATCTGTAAGCTCAGCATCTGGGAGGCTTGGTTAGGGAGGTCTTGAGTTCAAGGCCAGTTGAGCTGCACAGTGAAACTCTGCCTTGAAAAAACAAGAGAAAGGTATTAGAAACAAGTCAGAAAACTTGTTACCAGGAATAGAGGTCCCAGGGCAATTACAGGTTGTAGGTTATTTCTTGATCTGCGAGGTAGTTACAGGGTTGTACTTGATTTGTAAAATTGATCAAGCTGTATAATTCACGTTTTGTATACTTTTTTTTTTTTTTTTTGTACTGGGGATTGAACCTAGGACACTGCACTTGCTAGGCAAGTGCTTTGCCACTGAGCTACATCTTAGCCTTGTGTTCATCATGACATTTATGTATGTATGTATGTATGTATGTATGTATGTATGTATGTATGTATGTATGTATATAGTCAGTCCTGGGGCTTGAACTCAGAGCCTGGACTCTGTCCTGAGCCTCTTTGTGCTCAAGGCTAGTGCTGTACCACTTGAGCCACAGTGCCACTTCCAGCTTTTTGTGTTTATATGGTACTGAGGAATTAAACCTAGGGCTTCATGCATGCTAGGCAAGCACTGTACCACTAAGCCACATTCCCAGCCCTGTTCATTATTTTTTTGAAGTTCCCAGAAGTTTTTTAAGTAGTAGGTATTTGAAGTAGCATTGATGCTGAGTGAAGGTACATACGCCTGTAATCCTAACTACTGAGGAAGGTAAGATTTGAGGATTGGGTTCCAGAACAGCCTGAGCAGAAAAGTCAGTGAGACTCTTACATCCAATTAACCAGCAAAATGACAGAAGTGGAGGTTTGGATCGAATGGTAGGGCACTAGCCTTGAGTAAAAAAGCCAAATGAGCATGTACAAGCCCCAATATCAGCCTTCTCCCCCCAGCTCCCCACCCCCCACACAAATCCAAAGGACTGGGAAGGTGGCTAGCATGCATGAAGCCCCAGGTTCAATTCCTTAGTACCACGTACACAGAAAAAGCCAGAAGTGGTGCTGTGGCTCAAGTGGTAGAGTGCTAGCCTTGAGCAAAAGCAGCTCAAGACAGGCCCCAGGTTTAAGCCCTAGGATTGGCAAAAAATAAAAACAAAACACATGTTATTGTGCTCAATTTTTCCTTTAATAGTTTTAATTGAGATTATTTTACTTTTAGCTGTCAGTTGAAATTTTACTAGTAATATTCATTATGGATAGGATAAAAACATTAAATGCTTTGTTAGTAATTTATTGGAGGAGAATGCTTTGGTGGGGCAGAAACATATGACTAATGTCCAAACGTTAGCCCTCCAGGTCAGTGTGTCTCACTTTCTCTTGATTTGTAGGCCGCATTACAGAAACAACAGGAAGTAGTAGTGGCTGGGTCCTCTTTACCTACATCCTCAAAAGTGAATGCAGCTGTAGCAAGTGATATGCTGTCAGTTAATGGACAGGCCAAAACCCACACTGACAACTCTGAGAAAGAACTTGAGCCAGAAACTGCAGAAGAAGCCCTGGAGAATGGACCAAAAGGTATGGTTTGGCCTACATCTTCCTATCTAGATGCCAGAGTGCTGACTGCACGAAAAGCCAGTCTGAAAAGGGGGAACTCGCCGTGAGAGCGTGAGATTCTGAGACCCTTAGACTTGTGTGGAAGACCAAGTCAGAGGTCTTGGGGGAACTCTGAAGATGTAAGATAGCCTTCTGTCTTTGCATAGGTAAACTTTCTAAAGCTGTGTTACACATTATACTCAAATTTAGAATCTTAAAACCACAACAAACATTTCATATTGCATAGTTTCTTAGGTCAGGAATTCAGGAGCAGTTCAGCCCAGTGGTTCTGGCTGAAGGTTTGTCCATGAGTTTTCAGTCAAGGTGTCGGCCAAGACTGTGGTTGTGAAAAGCATGCTGGACTGGAGGGTCTGTTCCCATGGTAGCTGTACTGGCTGTGCCGCTCAGCAGGAGCCTCCTAGGGTGGCTGGAGCCCAGAAGCACTCTACCATGGGTTTGCCACGGGGCACCGTCTCTGAAGGGGATGAGGCAGAATGGCAGTGCCACGTCTTTTGTTTTTGTTGGTCGTTATGTAGCCCAGGCTGGCCTGAGCATCTGTGTAGTCCAGGTTGACCTTGAACTCAGGATCTACCTACCTAAGCCTCCCAAGTGCTGGGATTACAGGTTTGTGCCTGCGTACCCAGCTTGGTAGTGTTTTGTTTTGTTTAGCTTTCATGCCCTGACTTTAGAAGTAGCACATCAGCATTTCAATCATACTCTACTGGTCATAAGCCACTGGAGGGAAGGCTCACTGACCATCTTAGAGGTGGGCTGGGAGGTATTAGGATATGTTTCTGAGGCTGAAGAACTCAACATTTTCCAAAGCTGCAGTGCTTTCTGTGGACAACTTGTTCATCCATCAACCTCTTCGTCAGTTCACTAGACATTTTCTGGGTGTGTTTATACAGCGATGACTAACTCTCGTTAAGTGTACATTGTGGCTCTGGTGGGAAAGGGATGCATTCTGTATGGGAATATGCAATGTGTGAGGGCGACCTCCCTGACACGGCCGAGAGGGCTGGACTAGAACAGGAGTTGAATAGAGAGGGTCGGGCTCAGTGGGGAGCGGGTTTCACAAATCTTCCTGGCCAGAAAAAGACCTGGCTCAAGGGATGCAGTACCTGCCTAGCAAGTGCAAGGCCCTCATCCAGACCCTGGCACAGCTCCACCCTCCACCCAAGACCCCATCCAGACCCCCAGCACCACCTCCACCCAAGACCTCATCCAGACCCCCAGCTCCACCTCTACCCAAGACCCCATCCAGACCCCCAGCACCACCTCCACCCAAGACCCCATCCAGACTCCCAGCTCCACCTCTACCCAAGACCCCATCCAGACCCCCAGCTCCACCTCCACCCAAGACCCCATCCAGACCCCCAGCTCCACCTCCACCCAAGACCTCATCCAGACCCCCAGCTCCACCTCCACCCAAGACCTCATCCAGACCCCCAGCTCCACCTCCACCCAAGACCCCATCCAGACCCCCAGCACCACCTCCACCCAAGACCCCATCCAGACTCCCAGCTCCACCTCCACCCAAGACCCCATCCAGACCCCCAGCTCCACCTCCACCCAAGACCTCATCCAGACCCCCAGCTCCACCTCCACCCAAGACCCCATCCAGACCCCCAGCACCACCTCCACCCAAGACCCCATCCAGACCCCCAGCACCACCTCCACCCAAGACCTCATCCAGACCCCCAGCTCCACCTCCACCCAAGACCCCATCCAGACCCTGGCACAGCTCCACCTCCACCCAAGACCCCATCCAGACCCCCAGCACCACCTCCACCCAAGACCTCATCCAGACCCCCAGCTCCACCTCCACCCAAGACCCCATCCAGACCCCCAGCTCCACCTCCACCCAAGACCCCATCCAAGACCCCCAGCACCACCTCCACCCAAGACCTCATCCAGACCCCCAGCTCCACCTCCACCCAAGACCCCATCCAGACCCTGGCACAGCTCCACCTCCACCCAAGACCCCATCCAGACCCCCAGCACCACCTCCACCCAAGACCTCATCCAGACCCCCAGCTCCACCTCCACCCAAGACCTCATCCAGACCCCCAGCTCCACCTCCACCCAAGACCTCATCCAGACCCTGGTACAGCTCCACCCTCCACCCAAGACCCCATCCAGACCCCCAGCTCCACCTCTACCCAAGACCCCATCCAGACCCCCAGCTCCACCTCTACCCAAGACCCCATCCAGACCCCCAGCTCCACCTCCACCCAAGACCTCATCCAGACCCCCAGCTCCACCTCCATCCAAGACCCCATCCAGACCCTGGCACAGCTCCACCTCCACCCAAGACCCCATCCAGACCCCCAGCACCACCTCCACCCAAGACCTCATCCAGACCCCCAGCTCCACCTCCACCCAAGACCTCATCCAGACCCCCAGCTCCACCTCCACCCAAGACCTCATCCAGACCCTGGCACAGCTCCACCCTCCACCCAAGACCCCATCCAGACCCCCAGCTCCACCTCTACCCAAGACCCCATCCAGACCACCCCCAGCTCCACCTCCACCCAAGACCTCATCCAGACCCCCAGCTCCACCTCCACCCAAGACCCCATCCAAGACCCCCAGCTCCACCTCCACCCAAGACCTCATCCAGACCCCCAGCTCCACCTCCACCCAAGACCCCATCCAAGACCCCCAGCACCACCTCCACCCAAGACCTCATCCAGACCCTGGCACAGCTCCACCCTCCACCCAAGACCCCATCCAGACCCCCAGCACCACCTCTACCCAAGACCCCATCCAAGACCCCCAGCTCCACCTCCACCCAAGACCCCATCCAGACCCCCAGCTCCACTCTCTGCCCTCCACCCTCCACCCACGGAAGGGTTTGTAGCAGTGAGCGGAGCACTCTGGAGGCCTGCCGCATGCCTCATTGCACACAGATGCTCTTGTAGAGAGACTGTACCCCTTTTCTAGTGTGAGTGCTTCTCACTTGTCTGGGTTTTTCTTTTTTAGCTCCTTCAGAAAAGCCCCTGAAACGTGGGGACCTTTAACCATGGTTCAAATCATGGTCAAGGCCTTTTTTTTTTTTCTTGGGTCCGGTCGTGGGGCCTGAACTCTGGGCCTGGGCGCTGTCCCTCAGCTCTTCAGCTCAAGGCTAGTGCTCTACCACTTGAGCCACAGTGCCACTTCCGGCTTTTTTCTTTTTGTTTATGTGGTGCTGAGGAATCGAACCCAGGGCCTCAGGCATGCAAGGCAAGCACTCTACCACTGAGCTCCCTTCCCAGCCCCTGGTCAAGGCTTTTTTGTTGGTTGTGGGGCTTGAATTCTGGGCCATGGTGCTGTCTCTCAGCTCTTCAGCTCAAGGTGAGCACTCTACCACTGGAGCCACAGCGCCACTTCCGGTTTTCTGGTGCTTTATTGGAGATAAGAGTCTCACGGATTTTCCTGCTGGGGCTGGCTTTGAACTGTGATTCTCAGATCTCAGCCTCCTGAATAGCTAGGATTATAGGTGTGAGCCACCAGCACCCAGCTGACTTTTTTTTTTTTTTCAAACAGTAATATATTCTCAGGTGGGGGCTGGGAAGGTGGCTCAGTGGTAGAGCGCTTGCCTTGCATGCCTGAGGCCCTGGGTTCAATTCCTCAGCACCACATAAGCAAAAAGAAAAAAGCCGGAAGTGGCGCTGTGGCTCAAGTGGTAGAGCGCTAGCCTTGAGCTGAAGAGCTGAGGAACAGCGCCCAGCCCAGAGTTCAGGCCCCGCGACCAGACCAAAAAAAAAAAAAAAAAAAATCTCAGGTGCAGGTCTCTTCCTTGCTAGGATGTTTTCCCTGCTTCCATTTAGGAGTTTCTAAGGTCCTTCTTAAATTGCCATGTGAATTAGACGGTTTAAAAAAAAAAAAAAGGGCTGGGAATGTGGCTTAGCGGTAGAGTGCTTGCCTAGCCTGCACACAGCCCTGGGTTCAGTTCCTCAGCACATAAACAGAAAATGTCAGAAGTGGCGCTGTGGCTGAAGTGGGAGAGTGCTAGCCTTGAGCAAAAAGAAGCATTATGGACAGTGCTCAGGCCCTGAGTTCAAGCCCCAGGACTGTCTCCCCCCCCCACCCCCACGCCGCACTGGAAAAAAAAAGCCCAAACCACTTGAAAGGTTAGGGATTCCACCTGTAGCCTGCTCAGTGCAGGAAGCTGGGGGGATTTCGGGAAGCTTTCTGTTGCCTTGACTGTGGAGTGCACGAGTTAGGGCCCCTGCGCCAGGGTGCTGCCTGCAGGACAAAGGATTTTCTTTTCAACTCTAATTCTTGTTGTCTTTAGAATCTTTTCCAGTGATTGCAGCCCCATCCATGTGGACACGACCACAAATCAAAGACTTTAAAGAGAAGATTCGGCAGGATGCGGACTCTGTGATCACCGTGGGCCGAGGGGAAGTGGTCACTGTCCGGGTCCCCACCCATGAGGAAGGATCCTATCTCTTCTGGGAATTTGCTACAGACAGTTATGACATTGGGTTTGGGGTGTATTTTGAATGGACAGACTCTCCAAACACTGCGGTCAGCGTGCACGTCAGTGAGTCCAGTGATGATGAGGAAGAGGAGGAAGGTAGGGCATGGTGGGCGGGTGATACCAGGCAGTGTGTTGGCAAGATGACACTTTACACACAAGGAGGAACTCGGCTGTAAAGGCTGTGGACAGGCTCAGGCCTGAGCATGATTGCTTCTGCGTGCAGGGAAGTACGTTTAGCAATTTGCTATGCTGCTTGCTGAATGCTGTTCAGTGTCCAGCCTTGTATATTCAAAAACCAAATGCAAGAGATCTGTATATTCAAAAACCAAATGCAAGAGATCTCTTTGAACAATGTTTTTATTTTGTGTAGATTTTTTTTTTTTAATGTCTCAGTCCTGGAGCTTGAACTCGGGGCCCTGGCGCCATCCGGAGCTTTTTTTTTTTTTTTTGTAGGTCGTGGGGCTTGAACTCTGGGCTTGAGTACTGTACTTGAGCTCTTCAGCTCAAGGCGAGTGCTCTACAGTTTGAGCCAGAGCGCCACTTCCGGTTTTCTAGTGGTTTATTGGAGATAAGAGTCTCACTGACTTTCCTTGCCTGGGCTGGCTTTGAACCGAGATCCTCAGATCTCAGCCTCCTGAGTAGCTAGGATGACAGGCGTGAGCCACCGGCGCCTGGCTCTCCCTAAGCTTGTTTGCCCAAGGCTAGCACTCTACTATTTGAACCACGGCTTCACTTCCAGCCTTTTTGATGGTTAGTTGGAGATTAGAGTCTCCCAAGTAGCTGGGACAACAACAACACCAGCGGCCCTTTCACTTTGAGAAGCTTTGTGGGGTTTTTGTTTCTGTTTTTGTTTTTGCTCATCCTAGGGCTTGAACTCTGAGCCTGGGCTCTGTCCCTTTGCTCAAAACTAGCACTCTGACCACTTGAGCGTCTTACCACTTGAGCCACAGTTCCACTTCTGGCTTTTTTTTTTTCTTTTTTTTTTTTTTGTAGTTTAATGTAGATAAGAGTCTCAAGAACTTTTCTGCCCAGGCTGGTTTCGATCTGCAGTTCTCAGATCTTAGCCTCTTGAGTAGCTAGGATTCTAGGTGTGAACACCAGCACCCAGCTTCACTTTGAAACTTTCAAAGGAGCAATAAGAACTTCTGTCAGCCCTTAAATGTATTTAAATTATGTTAGGAGAATAGCTTCATGGATTATTATTCTAAAATTTTTAATGTCAGGAAATTTACCAGGCCATCCCAGTGAAATGAATTTCATTTGTTCTCACTTTGGAAACCACTGTCTTGCTGGAGGAGGGGCTCTGTCTTCTGTGCTGCGTAGAGAAGGCAGGTGTGAGCTGCTCATCCAGGAAGTGTGCTGTGAGACACACTGCTCCTCGACACGATGTGCTTCCTCCTGTTGCCACTCTGCTCCCTGCCTGCTGAGCAAGCACTCGCTGCTGGCCGGCCGGGGTGACGGTGGTGTGGAAGCACCTCTCATTGGCTCAGCTCCTTGGGGTGTACTTGTATGCCAGGTGCCTCAGAAACAGTGCCCAGCTTCAGGCACGGAAGGGCGGTGTGTTTGCCAACCATGGTGTCAGAATAACGATTCACAGAGCTACTCTGGGAAGTCTCATCAGCTCTATGGGTGGTAGATAGATGTTCCCTTCTATTGGAAGCTCTCAGGCCCTCAGGTGTGTATGGGGACATATCCACAAGGTATGCCTTAAGCAGTTCTTGAAATTTAAGTCTTTTGTCCATCCTGGGTTTGAACTCTGGGCCTGGGCGCTGTCCCTCAGCTCTTCAGCTCAAGTCAAATGCTCTACCACTTGAGCCACAGCGCCACTTGGGTTTTCTAGTGGTTTATTGGAGATGAGAGTCTCACGGACTTTCCGAGATCCTCAGATCTCAGCCTCCTGAGTAGCTAGGATTATAGGCGTGAGCCACTGGTGCTTGGCTCATTAGTGTTTATATTTTATTGTTGTTAAGTCAGGTTGTAAGTACTATGCTTTTTGGTCATTGTCTCCCTTCCCATCTTTCTCCCGTTTGCCTCCTCCCATCCCTGCCCTGAAGTTACATAGACAATGTTCGTTGAGTATAATGACTGCATTTGCTCACCCTCCCTTCGTTCCTGCACAGCCCCCCTCATCCCCAAAACACGTTTCTTTTTTCTGGTATTCATTTTGTGAAACAGTTCGTCAGTTGTTCGGAGGAGTTACACTATTGGACTCTTCCCCTAAGTACACCGTCCTGCGGTCAGCTTGTGTGAATTAGATAAAGTTCCATGCATAAGAAAAAACACGCACTATATGTCTTTCTGAGCCTGGTCTGTCCATTTCCCTGCAAATGACATATAGATGAGTGAAGTTCCATTGTGTATATCTGCCACATTTTCTTGATCCGCTCGCTCATCCATTGTAGGGTACCTGGGCTGTGTCCATAACTAGGCTCTTGTGACTAGTGCAGCAAGGCACATGGGTGTGCAGGTGTCGCTGCTGTGTGCTGGCTTGTGATGCCATAGGTAGGCCACAAGGGTAATGGAGCTGGATCACAGGTTGGCCAGTGTGCCACCTGTCCTGCTTCCTTAAGAGCAATCTTCCCGCTTCCCCTTCTGTGGGTCGTGGGCCTGAACTCGGGCCTGGGCGCTGTCCCTCAGCTCTTCAGCTCAAGGCGAGCCCTCTACCACTTGAGCCACAGCACCACAGCGCCACTTCGGTTTTGTGGTGGTTAACTGGATAAGAGTCTCACAGACTTTTTGGCCCGGGCTGGCTTTGAACTCAGCCTCCTGAGTAGCTAGGATGATAGGCATGAGCCACTGGCGTCCAGCTCTCTTCTGAAATTTCTGCTGCTAACGATTTGGGGTTATTGATACTGGGAAGAATGCTGGTAAAAGTAGCAGGGACCATTTCTGTGTAGGTAGCAGGGACCATTTCTGTGTAGGTGAGTGTCCTTGACCTTAGCTCTAGTATATCTTGCTCAAAGATGGCAGAGTCTACTCTGTACCTGTACCACTCCTAATTATAAAATGATTTCCACTTAAGCCAAGCCTTTTTTTTAAAACATTTGTTTCTGTCTTTAGTTTTTTATTTTAATGAGCTTTTAATTGTATAAACATTATGTAACCAAAGATAACAAAAACTTTTAGGATACTTTTTTTTTCCTTTTTCTTTTTGTTGTTCATGGGGCTTGAACTTTGGGCCTGGGCACTGTCCCCGAGCTCTTCAGCTCAAGGCTAGCCCTCTACCACTTGAGCCACAGCGCCACTTCCACAAAAACTTTTAATATGTAGCATATGAGTAAGAACGAAAATACTTAGCTATGTTAAAAAACAACAGTGATGTTGGGAAGATGGCTCAGTGGTAGAGCACTTGACTTGCATGCCTGAGGCCCTGGGTTCGATTCCTCAGCACCACATAAGCAAAAAGAAAAAAGCCAGAACTGGCGCTGTGGCTCAAGTGGTAGAGCGCTAGCCTTGAGCTGAAGAGCTGAGGGACAGCGCCCAGGCCCAGAGTTCAGGCCCCACGACCAGACCAAAAAAAAAAACACCAAAAAAAACCCCAACAGTGTTTCAAATGCTTTCCATTTTCTTCCAGTATCACCATTATTTATGTCTAAGCAAAAATTGCTTATTACTAATGAAATTAAGTCCCAATAGTAGACAGAGTGGCAGAAAGAGCCCTTCCAAGATTCTTTTTTTTTTTTTTTTTTTTTGTCGGTCGTGGGGCTTGAACTCTGGGCCTGGGCACTGTCCCTCAGCTCTTCAGCTCAAGGCGAGCGCTCTACCACTTGAGCTACAGCGCCACTTCCGGTTTTCTGGTGGTTTATTGGAGATAGGAGTCTCACGGTCTTTCTTGCCCGGGCTGGCTTTGAACCGCGATCCTCAGATCTCAGCCTCCTGAGTAGCTAGGATTACAGGCGTGAGCCACCAGCGCCCCGGCCCTTCCAAGATTCTAAACCTATTCTTGAGTAGGGTATGGAGTTGCTCTGGACTGAGTGAGGGCTTCCTACTTGTTCACATTCCTCAGTGGCATTGACAAGACTCACCCGGAAGACATGTCACCAGAATTTACTCTGCCATGGTGGAGACCTGAAAACTTTTCATCTTCTCTGTTGAGATCCCTTTACCTGTTTTCCGTGAGACTGCTGAGTTAATATCTTAAACTGGGATTTTTTCCCCTGACACTAGAGTTTGAACTCGGGGCCTAGAGCTTGCTTGCATCACTTGCTCAGCTGGTGCTCTGCCAGCTGAGCTGTGCCTCCAGCTCAGTTTCTTGCTGTTGATGAAAGTGAGGATCTTTCTGCCTGGTCCTCCAGATCTCAAGCTTCGGAATAGTTACTGTTCCAAGTGTGAGCTGTTGGTGCCCAGTTACACAGACTTTGAAGCTGTGTGGTTTTCTCATTCCTGCCGGCTTCTAGAGATGTTTCTTTTCTGACTTCCTGTCATCTGTGCCCAGAAATTACTCCCTGGGAGAGTCTGTGTTAAGCTTACTCAGGATCTCCACTTAGGACACCACTGGATTAAACAAGCATGATGGAGATCACTGTACTATAGTACCTCTGAAGGCCTACCTCTCTACAGCAGTTTCCATTTGTTTACTTTGTTTTTATTTATTTGTTTGTTTTTGCAGTGCTGAGGGCTGTCTTGTACTTGCCAGGCAAGCACTTTTCCACCCAACGAAGTCCCTAACTCTTTATATTTAAGACATTCAGAAAATGGTAGCCCTGGGGCTGGGAAGGTGGCTCAGTGGTAGAGCACTTGCCTTGCATGCCTGAGGCCCTGGGTTTGATTCCTCAGCACCACATAAGCAAAAAGAAAAAAGCCAGAAGTGGCGCTGTGGCTCAAGTGGTAGAGCGCTAGCCTTGAGCTGAAGAGCTGAGGGACAGCACCCAGGCCCAGAGTTCAGGCCCCATGACCGGACACAAAAACAGAAAATGGTAGTCCTTACAAGCTATGGTCTGCTTCCTGAGACTGATAGCCACTCTTCTTGTCCTTACTCTGAAGTAGCCAGGCACTGGTGGCTTGAGCCTTTAAAGCCTAGCTAAGCTACCCAGAATACTGAGTGAGATCTGAGAATCACAGTTTGAAGCCAGCAAGAGCAGGGAAGTCTGTGAGATTCTTATCTCCAATTAACTACCCCCAAAAATGTGTCAGAAGTGGAGCTGTGGCTCAAGTGTTAGATGAGTAAAAAAAAGCCAGGCACTGGTGGCTCACTCCTGTAATCCTAGCTACTCAGGAGGCTGAGATCTGAGGATCGCAGTTCAAAGCCAGCCCGGGCAAGAAAGACCGTGAGACTCTTATCTCCAATAAACCACTCAGAAAACCAGAAGTGGTGCTGTGACTCAAGTGGTAGAGCACTTGCCTTGAGCTGAAGAGCTGAGGGACAGCGCCCAGCCCAGAAACCCCACGACTGACAAAACAAACTCAGGGACAGTGCCCAGACCGAGTTCAAGCCCCAGGACTAGCTCAAAAAAAGAAGTTGGTCTCAAAAATAGGACAAGAACAGGCGAGGCAGACCACCTTCACTGCCAACTGCCCACCCCTGGGCTCCCGGCCCCGCCAAGCACTGGCTCACGGCAGGCCCAGGGGCTCTGAGCCATACCTTGGCGGTGGTTTTTGTTTTTTGCCAGTCCTGGGGCTTGAACTCAGGGCCTGTAGCTTCCTTTGGCTCAAGGCTAGCACTCTAACACTTGAGCCAGAGCACCACGTATGGCTTTTTCTGCTCATGTGGTACTGAGGAACCCAGGGCCTCATCCATGCTAGGCAAGCACTTTGCCACTGAGTTACCTTCCCAGCCTCCTGGGGTGTGCGTGCGTGCGTGTCCACGTGTACATAAAATGGGGAATGGACTTAGAGAATTCGGAAAGGAAGGAGTTCAGTTGCTTGATGACAAAGGTGGTTTTCCTCTGTTGTTTGACTTGCATCTGCTTTTCCTCACAGAAAACATCACCTGTGAAGAGAAAGCCAAAAAGCATGGCAGCAAGCCCGTGTTGGACGAGATCGTGCCTGTGTACCGACGGGACTGTCACGAGGAGGTCTACGCTGGCAGCCACCAGTACCCAGGGAGAGGCGTCTACCTCCTCAAGTTTGACAACTCCTACTCCTTGTGGAGGTCCAAATCCGTCTACTACAGAGTCTATTATACTAGATAAAGATGGTGTTACAGAGTGGAGTCTAGGCTTGGGCGAAGATGGCATTTACTTTCTTTTGGCTTTGGTGGAACACTGGAGTTGTGTTTCTCCTATTCTTTTTGGTCTGATGGTATGAACTCTTGTTGAGAGTCAGGATTTTCTTGAGACTCTTTAAGCAGTAATGCTCAGGGGCTAGAGGGTCCCTCTGACTCATTAGTCCCTGGGTGCTGACCAGCATATGCACTAGTGGATGCTTAAGTTACAGGAGCCCCGTGTGAGATACTCAGTCACCAGAATACACTTGGCCAGCGCTGGCTGACTGGCTGGCGGTTTACGCGCTGCCTGCCCGTGTGTCCCCCAGGGCCCATAGCTGCAGCGCTGTCTAGGTTGACATGCTTGTTGGTAGTCAACACCCTGTGCAGGGGCGGGGATCAAACTCAAGACCTCACACAGTGTACTGGAGAGACAGACAGTGCCTCAGTCTTGTTCTGAACCACCCAGGTTATTTTTGCTTTGAGGCAGCTGTCGAGTTACATACATTACAGAGAATTACTTTCAGAGATTGTCTTAAACTTAGAATACCCAAACCCAGTAGATAATGGGAGTTTGTGGACACATAGAACACCTCAGACCTCTTCCTTGCAAGTCTCCACCAGCTCAGGCCTTTTCATTCATATCACACTGCAGTCAAAGCAAAACACGACAGCTCAGATGGAAAGTTTTCCTCACCAAGTGTACAGTTAGGGTTTTGTACACACAAAGTAGCACCTACTAAATTAAAAGCTGTAAAATCATTTCCGTGTGATTTGTCTTTGGGGAGTGCCAGAGCGGTGGCAGCGACCACATTGCCCTTGCTCCCGAGGTGGAGCTCCCCACCAGCCCAGCAGGAAGCATTAGCAATGGAAAAGCGTACACCTGTGCTCAGACTGTAGAGCTTTAATCTGTAGCATGTCTTCACTGACGGGAAGAGGTGCATCTTTTGTGTTTATATTTTTACTGAAAACAAACATGGATTAATTGCTTCAAATTTGTGTAAGTGGTAAGTTTAGAAAAGGAGGGTGATGTGGATGGAAAATGACAGACGGCTGTGTGCACTTAGCATTGTTATTTTGTGTTACTGAAAGACTTAAGAGTTTTACATTTTCAAATTGGAAGTAACTTCTTTAGGAACAAATTGACCGGCTACTTGTACACAGCTCACCACGTACTGGCTGTTTGACTTTTGTATGCTGCATTTATGTTTGTTTTTTTTTCTAATAACCTGGGTTTTTGTACGTATCTGTTTTCTTTGTTCAGAAACTGAATTATTTTCTCCCAAGTAGTGCTTAATTTGTGTTTTTGATTCTGATTTAGTCCTGGTCCTGGTGTCCACCCTGTTACATCTAACACCTTCGTTGAGCCGCCCACAGCTCTCTGCATACAGTGTAACAGAGTTAGGTACTTCCTGACTTCTCTTTTAAAAGAGAAAAACACTGTATTTAAAATGTAAAATAAACTTTTGAAAAGCAGGCACTAATACATATTTCTTGCAGCCTTTGATCATACTTTTCCTTGCGTGTGTGGGGAGCATCGCCTGTCACGTGTTCATGTCTGAACACGTTTGATTTTAAATTTCTCATTGCCTTTGGCTGTTGATTAGTACAGTACAAGTGCTATTTCGAAAAGATCTTGAAAGTAATATATTTAACCAATTAAAGTGTTCCTCTGTGACTTGTTGGTGTGTCATTGATGCCGACCCCTGCAGCGCTGTCGGGGTCTCCACGTGGAGAGGCGGCAGCAGGTGGAAGGTGAGCTGCTGCTTCTCGGTTGAACACAGGATGGCTTTTGTGGCTGGCAGAGCGCTGTTACTGATAGTCACGTTGCTGTTGATTTTGTGATGTAGCACATGGTACCCCAGTCCTGTGTGCCTGCCGACCACATGTGTAAGTCAGCTGGTCAGTCAGGATAGATACTACTGTGTGCCCTCTAACATGGCCACACTCAATCTCCATACCACCAGTGGAGTCTGAGAGTGCTGCTTTTTCCTGTTAGTACTCAAATTACCAAGACTTCTCTGAAGGTCAGCCTGATAGCTGAAAAATGAAATGAAATTGTACTTTCATGTGGTATGGTGTTTTTTTGGTGTGTGTGCGCCAGTACTGGTGCTGGGCACTGTCCCTCAGCTGCTCTTGCTCAAGGCTAGCACTCTACCACTTGAGCCACAGCGCCACTTCGGGCTCTTTCTGCGTATGTACTACTGAGGAATCAAACCCAGGGCTTCATGCATGCTAGACCAGCACTCTACCACTGAGCCACCTTCCCAGCCCAGATTGGGTATATTTTTGTGTGTGTGTGCCAGTCCTTGGGCTTGAACTTAGGACCTGGGCACTTTCCCTAAGCTTTTGTGCTCCAAGCTAGTGAGTACTCTACCACTTGAACCATGGCTCCACTTACGACTTTTTTTAAGCCGCTAATTGGAGTTATGAGTCTGATAGACATTCCTGCCCTGGCTGACTTTAATGCACACCTCAGACCTCAGCCTCCTAAGTAGCTAGGATTACAGCAGTGGCTGAGACACTGGCACCAGGCTTTTTTGGTTGATTTTTACTTCATATGATTTGAGTTATTAGGTGAATTCACTCTCGTGGTTGAAGAGTTACATGTTACCTATTCATCCCTAAGGTATACCCTACCTAGTTCTGATGTTCACGTCCTTTGGCATTAGTATGGCCACCATCGCTCCTGGGTTTTCCTTGCTTTGAGTCAAGTTTTCCCTGTGCACCCCATATTCGTCTAAAATACAGTCCTGTGCCTCTGCTACCCAAGTCCTGGGGCTGCAGGGCTATGTCGCCAGCCCCACTGAAGTTTACATGAATATCTGTAGGTGCTTTTTCTGCTAACCTATTATGCCTGTGTGTGCATGTGTTTGTGTGTGTGTGTGTGCGTGCGCGCGTGCTCGTGTGTGCACGTGTTCTAAGGATCAAATCAAAGGCTTTGCGCATCAGGCAAGCACTACTGATGAGCTACAGCTCCTACCCAGTTCTATTTAAATATTCACATGGATCTCATACTGGGTGTTTTCCTTTTATCTAGTCCTACCATTCCTTTCTCTTCATTACAATAACTGTAGTATCGGTTCCAGTGTGTGGCCAAGACGAGTTCTGTGGTTGCTCATTTTTCCTCGTTCCCTTGTTTTTTGGATTCCTGTCATCCTTCGCTGCCTTATTTGAGGTGAGTGTTCTGATTCCATTTACCTCTCCTGTTGACTTATTCTTTGGTTTTCAGGAGTTAGTACTTGTTTAGTGCTTCTGCTAGGATTCATGAACATAGCACAGAATTCTTTCAAATATTGATAATGCTGTATGTACTGTATAGAACATTACAAGAGTGTATTTTTTTTTTATTGTAAAGCTACAAGAGTGTATTTTTGTCTCACTGGTTTATAGATTTTTCTGGTGTTTAGAGACAAGTTTATGTTCTATCTCCACTCCACTCCCCCCCAAAAAAAGTTTGATGTTAAAATGCGTTGTGGGTAAGGGGTCTGCGCTGGCGCAAGGATTCCTGTCTGTGTTGGGGTGCAGGGCACTCCCCTAGCAAGCAGATGGCCAAGTGGTGTCCAAATCCGAGCTGCTGGACCCCCGACCCCATGTGCAACCCCGACCGCTGTCCCCGCACTGCTCTGCTCCTGTGCAGGTTGGCGGGGCGAGCCGGGGGGAACCGGCCTGGCTTTGTGAGACAGAGGGCTAGTAGGGACCCAAGCCTGCCCGCCCCAAAGAGAAGGTGAGGCCTAGTTCCTACTTCCTTGCTGCAGGCAAGTGCCTGACTCGCCGGGCCTCCGTGTGGTGCTGACCCAGAGCCAGGTCCTGAGAGGCCTGTGCCACACAGGCTGCCCTGCCCTGCCCTGCCCTGTCCTCTGTGAGGAGGACTCGGCCCTGAGAGGCTGGCTGGAAGCAGCTGCCACAGCCTGACAAGAGCCAGGGCTGGTAGGGCACCACGGAGACATGGGTCATAGCTGCAGAATTTCCCCAGATCACAATGGACGTGGAGGTGGATATCGTCAGAGCATGTGAGTGTATAATGTGTACAGTATTCAGAAGACAGAGTTGGGCGAGGCGTTCCCTGCCCGCCACCTGTGCCGGGGCTGCTGCGCTGGCATGTGTGGGGCACTTGGCGAGGCGCAGAAGCCCAGACGCAGGGGCGGGGAAGGGGCTCAGCGGTAGAGCGCTCGCCTAGCACTCGTGAGGCCCTGGGAATCAACCCCGTACCACATACACAGAAAAGGCTGGGTGTGGCACTGTGGCTCAAGTGGTAGAGTACTAGCCTTGAGCCCTGAATTCAAGCCCCAGGACTGGCCAAAACCAACAAAAACAGCCGCCCAGACATGGTGAGCTCCTGCCGGCGTGGGTGCTGCCTTGGCGGTGAGCCATGCCTGCTGTGGAAGAGCAGCGGCGGCTGCAGCTCAGCCCCCTCTGTGCCCAGGGCAGCCCCGACTGCCATCCTCTCAGGTTACACACGGGTTCCCTGGGAGCCCGGCCCTCTGCACCTCCTCCCGGTGGCCTCTTGGGGTTGGTCAGCATGTGGCTGTGTGCACTTGGGTCTTGTTGGGAACTAGCACCCCCTGTGAGGTAGTGACATGACAGTACTTTGCCAGGGACTGGGGTGGGGGGAAGGTCTCCACCTAGCCAGTGGCTCACATCTGTACTAGCTACTCAGGAGGCGGAGACCTGAGGACTGAAGCTCAAAACCAACCCCGGGCAGGAAGATCTGTGAGACTCTTATTAACCAGAAATAGCACTATGGCTGAAGTGGTAGAGCACTCGCCTTGAGCTGAAGAGCTCAAAGACAGCACCCCGGCCCAAAGTTCAAGCCCCAGGACTGGCAAAAAAAAAAGTTTTCGTGGAGGCAGATGGGGCACAGCTGGGTGTGGGCGCTGCGCCGTCCCTGCTCCGTCACAGGTCAGTCAGCTTGTTCACCTTGGCTGGACCTAGCACCCAGACAATCCTGCTGTGCAGCCTTACACCGAGGGCGAGACACGCCAAGACCTGGCTCCTGGGCCACTCAGCATGGGGGCTGGGGAGGGGTGCATGGGGGCTGGCGTCCATCTTGAGATGAGTGGTTTCCTTTGTAAACACCTTCGTGCCCAGAGGAGTCCTTTTCTCCAGTGTTTCCCACAAGAGAAGCGTCTTTCTTCAAGATACCCTTGTTCAGTTCCCACAGCACATTAGGTATGCAGGCAGGCCCCCAGAATGAGCTATCAAGCCACTCTCTTTCTCCCCCCCTTTTTGCTAAAAGTCACTGTTGGGGTGGGAGTATGGGGCTGCGTGCTTCGGGTCATTGGGCTCTGGGATCCTGGCTGTGGGTTCCCTCATGGTCTGATCTCTCAGGTGGAGTTCAGTGCCAGGGAAGCCTGGAGCCCCACAGGCTGGGGTCCCGCCGGGGCCTGAAGCTGAGCTCAGGTCCTGCACATAACAGAGGTCAGGCCTGGGCCCCCGCATACCCCTCAGAGCTCCGGGCTGCTGTCTCCTGACCACCCGCAGAGGGAGGGTAGAGCTTTCAAGCTAGAGGTGGCCTCAGTGAATGCCTGCCTCCCTTCCTGCCCTCCCCCATTCTCCCTTACAATCCTGAGGGCTGCCACCTTGCATGTGGTTCCTCTAAGCTAGAGCTGAGGCTCTAGGGGCTGGGACTGGTTAGCAGAGCCTGTGCCCTGCACACAGGGCAGCGGCAAGCAGCTACTCCCTGGACCGCCATCCTGTGCCAGCCCCAGCCGGGGGCTGGTAGACAGCCTCATGTCCCTCCTGGAGTGTATGTGTCACAATTGAAATTGCTGTAGCCCAAGTGGCCTGGACCTTGAGTTCCTCCCAACCCCAGCCCCCCAGCACTGGGATTATAGGTGAGCACCACTATGCCTGTGGTTGGAACCAAGGTCTCAACTGCCCTGACCTTGCTTGGCTTTCTCCACTGGGTAGTACTCTACCGCTTCAGCCTTGCCTCCAGCCTGGCTTTGTGCCAGCTATTTTGCACATGGAGTCTTAGGGGGTTTTCTAGCTGGGCAGACTTCCCCCCTCCATCCTCTGTCTCCTGAGTATGAGCAATTGGCGTCTTGCTGCCTTTAAGTTTTTGAGGCCCAGATACTCCCACGGGGCTCACTCAGCAGGCACATCCATCTGCCCTGCGCCTGGTCAACTACCTTCACCTTGCACCCATGGGCCCAGCCCTGTACTCCATGTGTGCAAGGTGGTTTGGTTGTGATGGAGTAGAGGGCGCGTGTGGGGGGGGGGGGGGGGCTGAGCACACATGGGGAGCTGTGTCTGGTGGGAAGGAGGTTCTTGGGGCTTGAACTCCAGGCCTGGGCGCTGTCCCTCAGCTCTTCAGCTCAAGGCAAGTGCTCTACCACTTGAGCCACAGCGTCACTTCCAGCTTTCTGGTGGTTTATTGGAGCTGAATCTCATGGACTCTCCTGTCCAGGCTGGCTTTGAACCGCGATCTTCAGATCTCAGCTTCCGGAGTAGTTAGGATTACAGGCGTGAGCCACCAGTGCCCCGCTTACATTTTTTTTTGTTTGGCCAATCCTGGAGCTTTAACTCACATCTTGTGCACTGTCCCTGAGCTTCTTGCTACTTGAGCCACAGCGCCGCTTCCGGCTTTTTCTGTGTATATGATTTTGAGGAATCGAACCCAGGGCTTCATGTATGCAAGGCAAGCGCTCTACCACTGAGCCAGCCCTTTCCTAC